TTCCGGGGTAAAGGCAGCATTTCTGCTGTTCAGCGCCATCTGCTGTCAGAGAGCGAATGTGCGCTTTCATTCAGCGCTTCTCCTTCAAGTGTTCCGCCATGCGCTTCTCATCCATGCTTGTTTACATGAGAGTGAGCATGCCTCTTTGACGCAGCATACAGCGGTGTTGTGCATTGTGACCAGTTGATGTGGAAAATATTCTTAAAATGCATTCAAAAAAATCGGAATAATTTGTAATAAGTAATTATTCACAGTATTTGGAAGTGCCCATGATAACAATATCGTGCATATTCATTACCGTGATATATCCATTACCTAATACCGGCACGTCTAGTTCCAAGCAAATATATCACTCTCATTCTTTCATTATAGAGAAATAACAGAAAGCAGCCTATTATGATTTCTAATAATATACAATTCACCCTTTTCCAATAAAATACTCTTCTGTTACTGATTATTCTACTGCATTTCCCTACTTCCACGCTTTATTTTATTGTATATTATACTCTTCCTCTTCCCCATTAAAGCTTTTTATTTTTTTTTGCATTGAACAATTAAAGTAAGAATTGTGTTTGTGTTACAAATGGCCAGTAAATCGGTGTCTCCCTCCTAACCCCAGGGGTTGTGTTGTCTGTAATCCGTGTCAGTGTGGTGGTAAATGGGTCTCCACGGCTGTGGAGCAGGGCTGTGAGGTGACACCAGCGCAGACACGCCGGAGCTGGAGACGAGACAGCTAAAAATGTATACATTTTAACATTTCATATAAAGACCAATAAGTAACACTTTACAATGTTATCTCATTAGTTAACCTTAGTTAATGCATTAATAATTAATAATGAGCAATAGCTACATTTGCTAGTTAATAATCTTTGTTAAAAAATACAACTGTTAGTTCATTAAATAACAGTTGCACCTTTTGATTTTAACAACGTGTTATTAAATATTGAAATGACCTAAGAAACCTTTTCATTGGCAGTTTATTTTAACTAATGAATTAACTCATGTTAATTAATAGAGCCTTAATGTAGCCTAAAGTGTGGGTCAAATATGGACCTACCCAACTTTTGGATTAAAAATTTTATGTACAAATTTAACCCAACGGTTGGGTTAGTCCATATTTGACCCAAAGTTGGGTTGAAACAACCCAGCATTTTTTTTTAGAGTGTGTGACCAAACAATAAAGAATCAAAACATTTTGAAACAATATCTAGGGCATGTTGTAGTCCAGATTCAAATGTAAAAAAAGAAAAGAAAAAGCCTATTAAGTCTAAATATTTAAGTTTTTGGTGCTGTGATGAACACCACTGCGAATACAAAAATCTGAATGGCTGTTTAAACCATAGAAATACGTTTTTAGAAAGCAGCTAGCTGCTTTGTTTATGGGGTTTCCGGGGTAAAGGCAGCATTTCTGCTGTTCAGCGCCATCTGCTGTCAGAGAGCGAATGTGCGCTTTCATTCAGCGCTTCTCCTTCAAGTGTTCCGCCATGCGCTTCTCATCCATGCTTGTTTACATGAGAGTGAGCATGCCTCTTTGACGCAGCATACAGCGGTGTTGTGCATTGTGACCAGTTGATGTGGAAAATATTCTTAAAATGCATTCAAAAAAATCGGAATAATTTGTAATAAGTAATTATTCACAGTATTTGGAAGTGCCCATGATAACAATATCGTGCATATTCATTACCGTGATATATCCATTACCTAATACCGGCACGTCTAGTTCCAAGCAAATATATCACTCTCATTCTTTCATTATAGAGAAATAACAGAAAGCAGCCTATTATGATTTCTAATAATATACAATTCACCCTTTTCCAATAAAATACTCTTCTGTTACTGATTATTCTACTGCATTTCCCTACTTCCACGCTTTATTTTATTGTATATTATACTCTTCCTCTTCCCCATTAAAGCTTTTTATTTTTTTTTGCATTGAACAATTAAAGTAAGAATTGTGTTTGTGTTACAAATGGCCAGTAAATCGGTGTCTCCCTCCTAACCCCAGGGGTTGTGTTGTCTGTAATCCGTGTCAGTGTGGTGGTAAATGGGTCTCCACGGCTGTGGAGCAGGGCTGTGAGGTGACACCAGCGCAGACACGCCGGAGCTGGAGACGAGACAGCTTTATTAACACAGAGAGACACAAAGCCAGCAGTCACAGACACCTAGAGAGGATAGAAATATGCTTGTCCTATATTCCACTATTAAGATATCTGAAAGCTATCATAATTTTACTAGGACATATCGAGCATCGTAGCATCTAAAACTGGGTCTACGTCCTTGAGATTAAAGACAAACTTGATTCTAACTTTTATTAATAACATTAACAAACATTATTATTTTAAATAATGCTTTAAAAACCAAGTAAATGTACATATAAAAAGTAGAAAAACTTCATACAAACGTTCATACAGTGGGGAAAAAAAGTATTTAGTCAGCCACCAATTGTGCAAGTTCACCCACTTAAAAAGATGAGAGAGGCCTGTAATTTTCATCATAGGTATACCTCAACTATGAGAGACAAAATGAGAAAAAAAATCCAGAAAATCACATTGTAGGATTTTTTAAGAATTGATTTGCAAATTATGGTGGAAAATAAGTATTTGGTCAATAACAAAATTTAATCTCAATACTTTGTTATATACCCTTTGTTGGCAATGACAGAGGTCAAACGTTTTCTGTAAGTCTTCACAAGGTTTTCACACACTGTTGCTGGTATTTTGGCCCATTCCTCCATGCAGATCTCCTCTAGAGCAGTAATGTTTGGGGGCTGTCGCTGGGCAACACGGATTTTCAACCCCCTCCAAAGATTTTCTATGGGGTTGAGAGCTGGAGACTGGCTAGGCCACTCCAGGACCTTGAAATGCTTCTTACAAAGCCACTCCTTCGTTGCCCGGGCGGTGTGTTTGGGATCATTGTCATGCTCAAAGACCCAGCCACGTTTCATCTTCAATGCCCTTGCTGATGGAAGGAGGTTTTCACTCAAAATCTCACGATACATGGCCCCATTCATTCTTTCGTTTACACGGATCAGTCGTCCTGGTCCCTTTGCAGAAAAACAGCCCCAAAGCATGATATTTCCACCCCCATGCTTCACAGTAGGTATGGTGTTCTTTGGATGCAACTCAGCATTCTTTCTCCTCAAGATGAGTTTTTACCAAAAAGTTCTATTTTGGTTTCATCTGACCATATGACATTCTCCCAATCCTCTTCTGGATCATCCAAATGCTCTCTAGCAAACTTCAGACGAGCCTGGACATGTACTGGCTTAAGCAGGGGGACACATCTGGCACTGCAGGATTTGAGTCCCTGGCAGCGCAGTGTGTTACTGATGGTAGCCTTTGTTACTTTGGTCCCAGCTCTCTGCAGGTCATTCACTAGGTCCCCCCGTGTGGTTCTGGGATTTTTGCTCACAGTTCTTGTGATCATTTTGACCCCACGGGGTGAGATCTTGCGTGGAGCCCCAGATCGAGGGAGATTATCAGTGGTCTTGTATGTCTTCCATTTTCTAATAATTGCTCCCACAGTTGATTTCTTCACACCAAGCTGCTTACCTATTGCAGATTTAGTCTTCCCAGCCTGGTGCAGGTCTACAATTTTGTTTCTGGTGTCCTTTGACAGCTCTTTGGTCTTGGCCATGGTGGAGTTTGGAGTGTGACTGTTTGAGGTTGTGGACAGGTGTCTTTTATACTGATAACGAGTTCAAACAGATGCCATTAATACAGGTAACCAGTGGAGGACAGAGGAGCCTCTTAAAGAAGAAGTTACAGGTCTGTGAGAGACAGAAATCTTGCTTGTTTGTAGGTGACCAAATACTTATTTTACCGAGGAATTTACCAATTAATTCTTTAAAAATCCTACAATGTGATTTTCTGGATTTTTTTTTCTCATTTTGTCTCTCATAGTTGAAGTATACCTATGATGAAAATTACAGGCCTCTCTCATCTTTTTAAGTGGGAGAACTTGCACAATTGGTGGCTGACTAAATACTTTTTTGCCCCACTGTATATTAGATTCTTTGAGTGCACAATTTTAAAAGTCTAAATTAGGAGTGGTTTATATGTATACATATTAGACATTGTGAACAAAGCTTGACATTGGTACTGGCTTAAGAGAGTTTATGATCTTCTAAAAAGGGAGATGGACACTCAAAGACATCTCAGATAAGCAGAAAAGCTGACAGAGAGGGACAGTTTAATGGACGGCTAAACCAACAAGGTATTGCTATTAACTTGCCTTTTTACGGTGTAGGGAGTCGTAACAGGATCTGTTTGTTCAGTGGGGTTTTTAGCCTTGGTGCTAAACTGTTCACCAAACACAGGTCAGTAAAGTGTACACAGCATGACCTGTCTACAGGGTCATCATCATCATCAATGGAAATGAACTAAATCACTAGTTTATTTATACATTTATTTACAAGAGATTCATTACCTTATGGCATATGTTTCAAGAATTTTTAATATGTTAGAATTATAAATATGTGTTTCATCTGCCTCAATCATGCTTTATTCCTCAATCAGTGGGCTGTTCATCTCTGCAGCCCAAACACTGATGGAGATTCAGCTAAACTTAGATTTATACTGCATGTTTGAGTGTATTTACCTTGGTGTTGAAGCCCATTGCATTCTGGGAGGTTTTGTAGAGTTCAGGGTACTTGAGCATGTTCTCTTTCCTGCAGGAGCGTTCGAAGATGCCCAGAGTCAGAGGAGGCAAAGCAGTGAAGATCTAATAAACAAAAAAAGGGAAAAAAAAATTACACAGTTTTTAGTTTAATCAATGGAAATGAACTAAATCACTAGTTTATTTATACATTTATTTACAAGAGATTCATTACCTTATGGCATATGTTTCAAGAATTTTTAATATGTTAGAATTATAAATGTGTTTCATCTGCCTCAATCATGCTTTATTCCTCAATCAGTGGGCTGTTCATCTCTGCAGCCCAAACACTGATGGAGATTCAGCTAAACTTAGATTTATACTGCATGTTTGAGTGTATTTACCTTGGTGTTGAAGCCCATTGCATTCTGGGAGGTTTTGTAGAGTTCAGGGTACTTGAGCATGTTCTCTTTCCTGCAGGAGCGTTCGAAGATGCCCAGAGTCAGAGGAGGCAAAGCAGTGAAGATCTAATAAACAAAAAAAGGGAAAAAAAAATTACACAGTTTTTAGTTTAAATCACAGAAAATTAAGCCAAAAGTCAAACTGTTGCACAGATGCTATAATTTATAATGAAAACTCATACTAAATTATGAAAATTCAAAACAGAAGCAGATGTACTAGTACTTCACTAGTAGTTTCAGATATTTAGGCCCCACAGCAATGTTTTTTTTCCCCCCCAGGGATATTACTACAAGCCGAGAAGAGTCGATGAAAAGAGGCTTGGTCGACCAAAATTTTACCAGTCGCAGAAAAAAAAAAAAAAAAAAAAAAAAGTACAAATCCACAGCGAGTGGTGAGTCCGTGACAGACAGATCGTTAACGACTGGTCTTTGTGGTAATACAGTACATTGGACAGGACATTCAAACACTCGCCTATCATTCATTGACCTCAAATAATCTGAAATATGTTAGTAGCAGCAACTTTACATGACTGCTCAATCTAATGTTTCCCTAGAAAAATGTGCGCTATTGAAGCGTCTGTGCAAAGTGTGAAAACTGAATAGCAGTGCGCTCACTGCATGACAGATGGAGGCAAATTTTTTTTGGTCATGCAGATAAGAGTAATGCATCTTTCCAATCTGTAAATACTCTGCGTTTATTTGTGTGCACTCACAATAACTACAAAACATTGCACTTTTGTAAAATAATGAAAGAAAACAGGATGCGCTTTTTGCTGCCTCGGCCTCTGTGAACTTGAGTGCAAAACTCTGTGTATACTTGCCTTACAGACATGAAAAATATATCTATAGAGAGTGAAATGTTCACTTTCAAATGAACCAATTCAAATAGATTATGTAATCTGTGTGAAACATACAGGCGGATCCACTACTGCAGAGATGACGAGTCAGTGTCGCCGAATTCATCTCTTAAACCGAAAACAAAGAAAGCACTAGTTTATCAATAAATGATTAAAATATTAATGCAGCCTCCTTACTGTTTTTCCCTGACACATTCATAATCATTACTTCTGCTGGTGTGCTGTGGCAAGCTTTATGCATGTGCTTGAGTGCTTATTAGGGTATGTAGGCAATTAAAGGCTCATTATTATGATTTAAATGGTTTATTAATAAACGTGCAATTAGTCGACTAATGCTTAAAATGAATGACTACTAGTTGACCAGAAAAATCTTTAGTCGAGGGCAGCCCTAATAAACACTGAAAAGAAAAATAAATTAAAATAGATACCTAAAAATACATAGCAGTCTAAACAACTACTTTCTATCCTGAGCACCAGACGTGCTCCCCTTGCCTGCCGTTTTCATTTGCTTGCTTGGTGTAGCTCAATGAGCATGTAACTTCTGGCATTTATCATATTTGCACTCTCTCTCTGCAAAAATGATTAAAAAACGAACATCTGCCACTGTGCCTGCAGCTTGTTAGCGGATCTCCTGGATGCTTTCATTTCTCTGCAGAGCTCTAACGTTTCTCCGTGCAGCAGCTGTTGAAAGCGAGAGGGGTGGTATTATGGTCCAGAGAGGGTTGCGGGGTCAGTCGTAAGTGTCTCTCACTGGCCCAGCTGGAGCGGCTGACATGGTCGGCTGGCCTTTTCCATTCAGGGGTGGTTTCGGGCCGTTGCATCCAACAGACCCCCTCTGACGCGATGGAATTCCTCCTCTCTCAGATAAAGAGAGAATGCGCCAGGCCGAGTTGTTACTGGCCTCACAACGCCAATGATCCATTACACAGGGCTGATGGGAAGCCGTGTTCAAGTTTTGTTCTTTGTTCAGGCGTAAAGAAATAATTTCTCGGGACAATCAGCGAGTCGGGTGGCTTAGTCATTTTTCCTTCGTATCTTCGTTTGTTTATGCAAAATGGAAAAACGTACTCCACCTAGAGCATTTTTTTCCTGAATAACTTTCCTTCCTGTTGAAAACATGTTAATTAACAGCATCAATTCCTATCACCAAGCCCTAAGGCAGCCCAGTTCACAGGACTCCACCCAAACGGCCGTGTGTGTGTGTGTATTTAAATGTGTCTGGATTCAACCTGTTCCTTTATCATCCACCGCTGACCTGTTTAACGCAGCTCTTTGGGGCATGAGCGTCTGTTGTTGCAGCACATTCAGGACATAGTTCTGGGCACGGAGGGAATACGGACTTGACAAGCGGTCATAAATAAGAGGGAGATTTTTCAGGATGGCGCTGACACGGGCCACAGTAAAGGAGCCGGCTGGGGTGCCGCGGCTAATGAGTTTCTTGCCTGAGCGCGACAGGGGAGGCGTTTTAACACATTTCCTCTCAGAGTAATGAAGAGGGGAGAGTAAATCACACACCCAGACAGACGTGTGAATGCAAACACTCTTACCACGTTGTACAGGCCGATGCACCAGCGCTCGAACAGAATCTGACCGGAGAAGCCGTTCACAAATGCAAACCAGATCTGAAAGACAAAAAGACAATGAAATGGTAACAGACTCATTAATGTGAATATTTAAAACATAATTTGGCATGTTAACCTATTATATAAAGCACATCATTAAAATAAATTTAAGTACAATAATAATAATAGTTTAATTGAGATTTATAAATACATAAATAAAAACACAATTAAATTAAATTTTATTGTTATTATTCAAAAAGTCTTTTAAATAGTGTTAAAAAAGTAAAAACTATAAAAAAAACGATATGCTTCCCAAGTCGTCCTAAAGGAAATAGTAACATATTAAAAGGGCAATGACAGGCCATATGATAATCATTACTACATAAATGTGTGACTAAAAGGTAAATATATACCATCATTAATCATATATTCCCCACTTTGTGTGCGCTTAACTCTGCTCCTAGCGGATTTTAATTTAGGTTGATCGATGGCTGTTGTTTTCTGTGGGGCCTCTCAGTGCTTGAAATTACACGCGAGAGAGCGATCTCTCATGAAAGCAGCAGTGAACTGACCCAATCAGTCCTTTCTACAGTCTCATACACTGGATCACTGCAAATGGTTTGTTCCAAGATCAGTCTTGGAGAAGAAATAAGCCAGCTTTGGGTCACTTTTTCATATACATAGTGGGGTCCAAAAGTCAGACCACTATTGAAAACTCTCTATTGTGTTTTTTTTATTATTATATAATACTATTCTTAAATAATTAGCAAGCAAACCAACACAAAATGTATAAAGTAATTTTTAATTTCATGTATTTAAATAAAAAATAAAATAAAAAGTTAACACATACCTCTATGAAGTAGTTAACAATGTTTAAGATAAAACATAAAAATATTGAAATTTTATTGATTTTATAAAAATAAATCAAATAGTAAATAAACATGTAAACTATAACCAAAGCATTTAAATGTGTCTGGATTCAACCTGTTCCTTTATCATCCACCGCTGACCTGTTTAACGCAGCTCTTTGGGGCATGAGCGTCTGTTGTTGCAGCACATTCAGGACATAGTTCTGGGCACGGAGGGAATACGGACTTGACAAGCGGTCATAAATAAGAGGGAGATTTTTCAGGATGGCGCTGACACGGGCCACAGTAAAGGAGCCGGCTGGGGTGCCGCGGCTAATGAGTTTCTTGCCTGAGCGCGACAGGGGAGGCGTTTTAACACATTTCCTCTCAGAGTAATGAAGAGGGGAGAGTAAATCACACACCCAGACAGACGTGTGAATGCAAACACTCTTACCACGTTGTACAGGCCGATGCACCAGCGCTCGAACAGAATCTGACCGGAGAAGCCGTTCACAAATGCAAACCAGATCTGAAAGACAAAAAGACAATGAAATGGTAACAGACTCATTAATGTGAATATTTAAAACATAATTTGGCATGTTAACCTATTATATAAAGCACATCATTAAAATAAATTTAAGTACAATAATAATAATAGTTTAATTGAGATTTATAAATACATAAATAAAAACACAATTAAATTAAATTTTATTGTTATTATTCAAAAAGTCTTTTAAATAGTGTTAAAAAAGTAAAAACTATAAAAAAAACGATATGCTTCCCAAGTCGTCCTAAAGGAAATAGTAACATATTAAAAGGGCAATGACAGGCCATATGATAATCATTACTACATAAATGTGTGACTAAAAGGTAAATATATACCATCATTAATCATATATTCCCCACTTTGTGTGCGCTTAACTCTGCTCCTAGCGGATTTTAATTTAGGTTGATCGATGGCTGTTGTTTTCTGTGGGGCCTCTCAGTGCTTGAAATTACACGCGAGAGAGCGATCTCTCATGAAAGCAGCAGTGAACTGACCCAATCAGTCCTTTCTACAGTCTCATACACTGGATCACTGCAAATGGTTTGTTCCAAGATCAGTCTTGGAGAAGAAATAAGCCAGCTTTGGGTCACTTTTTCATATACATAGTGGGGTCCAAAAGTCAGACCACTATTGAAAACTCTCTATTGTGTTTTTTTTATTATTATATAATACTATTCTTAAATAATTAGCAAGCAAACCAACACAAAATGTATAAAGTAATTTTTAATTTCATGTATTTAAATAAAAAATAAAATAAAAAGTTAACACATACCTCTATGAAGTAGTTAACAATGTTTAAGATAAAACATAAAAATATTGAAATTTTATTGATTTTATAAAAATAAATCAAATAGTAAATAAACATGTAAACTATAACCAAACAAATAAATTACAATTATATTAAAAATGGCATTCAATATTTTATATTTTAAGATATTGGAAATATTTTCTCTTTTATCTACACCTGCCCACCAGTTAAAAAAAACAAATTTTTAGATATTATATTTTGATAAAAAGATTAATAGCCTACTATCAACAAGAACAGCTGTGAGATGAGTGCATGTAAAAACAGTCAAGCCCCTGCTTTAGCAAACATACTGCCAAGGTTTTCAAAACATCTAAACATAGAGAAGCCCCACTATCTTGTCATGCGAAGCCACAACCTGGGCTTAACACATCATTACTCAGAGGACACCCCCAGGCAGGAATGAGAGAGGAAGAGCGTTAGTGCTGGAGGTAAGAGAGAGAGAGACTTCAACAGTTCCCATGACTTCAGCCAGAATGGTTCGTAAATCAGATGCTGTTTCCCACCTTGATCAACCCCCAGTGTCTCATAGCAGAAACAACTGATCACAGATCAGACTTTCTATTACACAAAATGAGTTTAAGACTTTACAAAAAACAGATCAGTGCAAAAGGACTAGATTTAACTATTTAAAGAACTGAAAGATGTGAGTTATTGGGCTTAAGGGCGGAGACCAGGGAAAAGACCACAAATGAAAGGAGAAGAGAGAAGAATGTGTATCTAAACCATATGCCATGGAGATGGAGTTCATCACTTAATATCTCTATTAGTTTGACTAGTCTGGCACACAATTCTGTCATAGTCATCTAGAAATCTGAGAATGTGATAATATCTCACAGCAGCTGTTTTAAAGAGGGGGAAAATCTGTAATAATCAAAAATGCGATGAGAGAATGAAAAAGACGACAATATAAATATGGCAAAACACAGGATCATGTGACACCAAAATTTAAACAGACAGGTCTTTCAAAATTCTGGTATTTAAAGACTAATTTGCAATCTACACTGTTTAAAAGTTTGGGCCGGTGAGATTTGTTTTTGAAGGAAGTCTCTTATGCTCACCAAAGCTGTATTTACTTGTTTAAAAATACAGTAAAAACAGTAATATTGTGAAATATTAATATTAAAAAAGTTTTCTATTGAATACATTTTAAAATTGAATTTATCCATGTGATGCAAAGCTGAATTTCCAGCAGTCATTACTCTAGTCTTCAGTGTCACATGATCTTTCAGAAATCATTCTAATATGCTGATTTAGTGCTCAAAAACTGTTTTCATTATTTATATTTATGCCGAAATTAGTGTAGCTTATTTTTGTAGAAACATAATACAGTTTTTCAGCTCTCATCTTTGATTAGATTACAATTTTTACAGAACAATAACTTTTTCCCCCTCACAAATTGATCACACAGCTTCAGAAGGATTGGAATATAATGCACAAGTAATATGGAGTCATTTTTTACAATACTTTTATAGTGTTTTTTACACAACTTGTGAGCACCTGGTCACTGTTTAAAAAAGAGCAGTGTGAACATACAACTAAACATCTTTTTTTGTGGTGTATAGACAAAAATAAATACAGGTTTGGAATAATATGACTGAGTAATCAATTAAACAATTTCTTAAATGAATACGAAATACTTGGAGTCAAAGTTCAGCACCGTTCAATTTTTGCTCGACTCCAATGCTGTGAGCTTCTCTATCGTATTTAGACCACAATTATTGTGAAAAAGTCTGAGAAGCTCAACCAGTCTTGAGTATGTGTGTGAGAGGCTCGACTGTTAAGCAGACCCCAGGTTACTGTGCAGTGCCATGGCCAGGCGGACATTTCCTCGCTTCATTTAACTCCATTATGAAAGCGTGAATTGCTACAAATTTTTGGGGTTTTGACAGAACCCCCTCCGACTGCGGCCCCCGCCAGTCCTCACACACAGAGCACATCCACCAGCCCCTCTCATTCAATAGAGTGAGCCAATGCGTGAAAATGTTCCCAAAACAAATGTCTGTCACCCCTCCCCTCTGGCCTCGCCATAGAGAAAGAAAGAGAGAAGAAGAGAGGAGGATTGGCCGCACTCCCCCCCACAGCCACGCCCACCCGTTCCAACTCCCATTTTCCTTCCATCAGGTGCATTCTACCGTGATATTGTTTTTAAAAGAGATCTGCTGCTTCTGAAACCCATTTGCACACACAAACATGAATAAATTACCAATATCGCCTCACGTTATGTTGTTTTCCTCCTCACAAACAGATTCCAGACTCAGAGAATTCCCTTATGACCACATTTTGATCAAAAGCCATACTGCCAAGGTTTTCAAAACATCTAAACATAGAGAAGCCCCACTATCTTGTCATGCGAAGCCACAACCTGGGCTTAACACATCATTACTCAGAGGACACCCCCAGGCAGGAATGAGAGAGGAAGAGCGTTAGTGCTGGAGGTAAGAGAGAGAGAGACTTCAACAGTTCCCATGACTTCAGCCAGAATGGTTTGTAAATCAGATGCTGTTTCCCACCTTGATCAACCCCCAGTGTCTCATAGCAGAAACAACTGATCACAGATCAGACTTTCTATTACACAAAATGAGTTTAAGACTGTACAAAAAACAGATCAGTGCAAAAGGACTAGATTTAACTATTTAAAGAACTGAAAGATGTGAGTTATTGGGCTTAAGGGCGGAGACCAGGGAAAAGACCACAAATGAAAGGAGAAGAGAGAAGAATGTGTATCTAAACCATATGCCATGGAAATGGAGTTCATCACTTAATATCTCTATTAGTTTGACTAGTCTGGCACACAATTCTGTCAGTCATCTAGAAATCTGAGAATGTGATAATATCTCACAGCAGCTGTTTTAAAGAGGGGGAAAATCTGTAATAATCAAAAATGCGATGAGAGAATGAAAAAGACGACAATATAAATATGACAAAAATTTAAACAGACATGTCTTTCAAAATTCTGGTATTTAAAGACTAATTTGCAATCTACACTGTTCAAAAGTTTGGGCCGGTGAGATTTGTTTTTGAAGGAAGTCTCTTATGCTCACCAAAGCTGTATTTACTTGTTTAAAAATACAGTAAAAACAGTAATATTGTGAAATATTAATATTAAAAAAGTTTTCTATTGAATACATTTTAAAATTGAATTTATCCATGTGATGCAAAGCTGAATTTCCAGCAGTCATTACTCTAGTCTTCAGTGTCACATGATCTTTCAGAAATCATTCTAATATGCTGATTTAGTGCTCAAAAACTGTTTTCATTATTTATATTTATGTCGAAATTAGTGTAGCTTATTTTTGTAGAAACATAATACAGTTTTTCAGCTCTCATCTTTGATGAGATTAAAATTTTTACAGAACAATAACTTTTTCCCTCTCACAAATTGATCACACAGCTTCAGAAGGATTGGAATATAATGCACAAGTAATATGGAGTCATTTTTTACAATACTTTTATAGTGTTTTTTTACACAACTTGTGAGCACCTGGTCACTGTTTAAAAAAGAGCAGTGTGAACATACAACTAAACATCTTTTTTGTGGTGTATAGACAAAAATAAATACAGGTTTGGAATAATATGACTGAGTAATCAATTAAACAATTTCTTAAATGAATACGAAATACTTGGGAGTCAAAGTTCAGCACCGTTCAATTTTTGCTCGACTCCAATGCTGTGAGCTTCTCTATCGTATTTAGACCACAATTATTGTGAAAAAGTCTGAGAAGCTCAACCAGTTTTGAGTATGTGTGTGAGAGGCTCGACTGTTAAGCAGACCCCAGGTTACTGTGCAGTGCCATGGCCAGGCGGACATTTCCTCGCTTCATTTAACTCCATTAAGAAAGCGTGAATTGCTACAAATTTTTGGGGTTTTGACAGAACCCCCTCCGACTGCGGCCCCCGCCAGTCCTCACACACAGAGCACATCCACCAGCCCCTCTCATTCAATAGAGTGAGCCAATGCGTGAAAATGTTCCCAAAACAAATGTCTGTCACCCCTCCCCTCTGGCCTCGCCATAGAGAAAGAAAGAGAGAAGAAGAGAGGAGGATTGGCCGCACTCCCCCCCACAGCCACGCCCACCCGTTCCAACTCCCATTTTCCTTCCATCAGGTGCATTCTACCGTGATATTGTTTTTAAAAGAGATCTGCTGCTTCTGAAACCCATTTGCACACACAAAC